TCTTGGGGCGTCGGGAAGCCGAAAAGGTGGAAGCTCCAAAATCTCTCAAAAACCTAAGGAAAATCAATGAATTTTGCCTCCGGAGGCCCTCTTGGGAGTGCTCTTGGAGGCCTCTTGGGGCGTCTGGGGGCCATCTTGGGCGTCTTGGAGCGATCTTGTGGCATGTCGGACCCCTCGTGTACCATCTTGGGGGCCTCTTGGGGGCCTCTTGGTTTTGTTTGGGTCCTCGGGGACGTTTTCGGAGCCCTGTTGGTGCGCTCATGGGGCGCTCGGGGGGACCCGGCCGGGACCCGGCCGGGACCCGGCCGGGGACCGGCCGGGACCTGGTCGGGGTACTTTTCGTCCGGGGACCCCCAGGGGCCGCCCCGCGCGCGCGAACTAGAGAATTGTTAACCAGTTACCGGAGATCTTAGCACGCCTCTGGCCCGTTGGGCCGGCGAATTATGGTCCCCCGCTCCCGCTTGAGACTTCCTTGCAATTTGCGCAAGAATCGCGCTCCCGCCTGAGACTTCCTCGCAATTTACTCAGCTCTTGCCATTCAGGAATCGTGCGTTCGCTGGGGACTTCTTCGAATTTACTCAGGAATCGCTCTCTCGCTGGTAACTTCCTGGCTAATCACGCAGAACTCACGATCGATCCGCCCGCTCGGCCCGCCCGTCAGGGTCGTGCCCTTCGTGCCCCATGCTCGCTCGCGCCCTTTGTGCCTCATTGCTGCCCTTCGTGGCCCCTTCCCTTGTGCCCCAGTCGCTGCCCTTCGTGGCCCCGATGCTGCCCTCAGTGGCCCCTCGCTGCCGCTGCCCTTTGTGGTCCATATATGCGCCTTCCGTGGCCACCAGTCGCTCGTGCCCTTAGTGGCTCCATTGCTGCCCTTCGTGGCCCCGCTGCTGCCCTCAGAGGCCGCCTCGCTGCCCTTTGGTGGCCCACGTACACACCCTTCGTGGCCCCCAGTTCCACCCACTAGCTCAACCGCTTGCTGTCTGGCTCCTAGCTGGCCTCCTTTCAATCCCATTCGTGCTTCATCCCTGTCCTCCAAGTACATCTCTCTCTCTCTCTCTTCGTTCCTGTCTCCCCTCTTTCCTTGTTTTAGGGGCTGCGCCGCGGCAGCTACGCGTGCCAAGTAATGAAGATGTACCCGCACGCTCTCGCCTGAGACTTCCCCACAATTCATTCAGGACTCGCGCTTTGATCCGCCCGCTGGACCCGCCCGTTAGGGCCGCCCGTCTGACTTGCTTTTGACGGCAGGCCCAGCGGCTCGCTTGGAAGCTCGCTGGGTGCTTTCACGTCCCGCACGCCCGACCCGCCCGTTAGGGTCCGCCCGCGGGTCTGCAGGCCCCGCCCGCCCGACCCGCCCGTTCGGGACCGCTGCCGTTGCCCGACCCAACCGTCTGGGTCTGCTGCTTGTTTTCCGGATCCTCTCTTAAGCCCCCCATTTTCTAATCTCTTTCGTCCGCAGTTTTGCTCCCTCCCTCTTATCCCTTGCCTCCCTCCCTTCCCCCACTCCTTTCCTCATCGTTTTTTGTTTGCTTCTCGCTCTCTCTCTCTCTCTCTCTCCCCCTCTCTCTTTCTCTCTCTCTCTCTCTTTCCTTTCTCACTCCTCTTGCTCTTTTAGGGGCTGCGCCCAATACACGTGGCAGGTCAGGAAGATGTACCCCCCAGAGGAGGTACGATCGAAGACGAAGAGGGCGGGTATCGGGGGTTTGGGATATACGTGGTGAGGTACGCGCGAGCAGATAAGAGCGAACAGTGTTAAACTGATTGTTGTTGTTGTTGTTGTTGTTGTTGCTGTTGTTGTTGTTGGTGCTGCTGCTGCTGTTGTTGCTGCTTTTTTATTACCCTTGTTTGTTGTTGCTGTTGATGTTGTCGTTGTTGTTGGCGTTGTTGTTGTTGTTGTTGTTGTTGTTGTTGTTGTTGTTGTTGTTGTTGTTGTTGTTGTTAGTGCCGCTGTTGTTGTAAATGTTGTAATTGTTGTAGTTGTTGTTGTTGTTGTGGTTGTTATGGTTGTTGTTGTTGTGGTTGTGGTTGTGGTTGTTGTTGTTGCTGCTACTGTTGTTGTAGTTGGCGTCGTCGTTGTTGTAATCGTTGTTGTTGTTGTTGTTGTTGTTGTTGTTGTTGTTGTTGTTGTCGTTTTTTTTTTTTTTTTTTTTTTTTTTTTTGTTGTTGTTGTTGTTGTTGTTGTTGTTGTTGTTGTTGTTGTTGTTGTTGTTGTTGTTGTTGTTGTCGTCGTTGTTGTTGTTGTTGTTGTTATTGTTGTTGTTATTGTTGTTTTTGTTGTTGTTGTGGTGGTGTTGGTGGTGGTTGTGGTGGTGGTGGTGAAGGTTGTTGTTGTTGTTGTTGTTGTTGTTGTTGTTGTTGTTGTTGTGATTGTTGTTGTCTGTTAAGTACAAAACAATTATTATTGTTGGACCCCCCCAGGCGCTTTGGCGCTCTCGCTTCGGCGCCGGCTACAGTTTCATTGAAAATGAGGCTCACGCTCGAGCGGTTTGGGGGGGCGCCCAAACCAGCCCCCCAACAAAAACAGCGCTCCCGCTCCAGACTTCCTCCTTTTTTACTTAGGGCCGGTGCTCTTACTCGCCGCCGGAAGCCGCCGTCCCAACAAAACCAGCGCTACCGCTCGAGTCTTCCTCCCGTTTTACCTTGCAGTGGCGCGCTACTCTTTCTCTCATCGGCGCCTCCCCCGGCAACAACAACGCTCCCGCTCGAGACTTCGTGACTTCCTCACTTTTTTACTCAACTTGGTGCTCCTCCTCGCCGCCGAAAGCCGCCGTCCCGACAAAACCAGCGCTCCCGCCCGAGACTTCCTCCCGTTTTGCGCTGGACTGGCGCCCTACTCTTCTTTGAATTGGCGCCGCTCCCAGCAAGAACAGTGCTCCCGCTCGAGGCTTCCTTCCTTTCTCCTCAGGACGGTGCTGTTCCTCGCCGCCGACGGCCCCCGTCCCGACAAAACCTCGGCTCCCGCTCGAGACCTCCTTCCTCCTTCTTACTCGAATCAGGGGCAACGATAGGGGGGGATAGGCATTGGGGGGGATGCATCGACCCCGAATCGCCCATTGACCGCCGATAGGGGCCCGATAGCCCCAACCTGCCCAGGAAGGTGCGGATTCACTATCGGAAGCCTCTATCGCCGATCTATCGACGATGTATCGCCGATTCCAGGTCGATGCCTCCCCCCCTATGCCCATCCCCCCCTGTCGTTGCCCCTCATCAAGGCGGTCTTCCTCCTCGCCGCCGACAACCGCCGTCCCAACAAAACCAGCGTTCCCGCTCGAGACTTACTTGTGTTTTACGCTGGACTGGCGCCCCAACTCTTCAGCACTGGCGCCGCTCTCGGCAACAACGGCGGTCCTGCTCGAGACTTCCTCCCTTGCTATCCAGGACCAGGTCCTTGCCTCGCCGCCGACAGCCCCCGTCCCCACCAAGGCAATCCTGTCGCTCGGTACTTCCTTGTGCTTTACCCTTGGCTGGGCTCCACTGGCGGTCTCGCATCGGCGCAGCAAGGCGCGGGCATGCATTTTCGAGGCGGGATATGTTGGAATTGTTCGGAGGAGATACTTGGAAGACCTCGTTGGGCGGGAGATCTGGGAATGGGAATGTCGGACCCCGCTATAGAACAATAATCCCCCATGATGGGGATGGTTATCATGATGGTCGCATGCTTCGTGTGGAAATATCGCGCATGGGGGTAAAATGATTGTTGTTGTTGTTGTTGTTGTTGTTGTTGTTGTTGTTGTTGTTGTTGTTGTTGTTGTTATCGTTTTTGCTGCTGCTGCTGTTGTTGTTGCTGTTGTGATGGTTGCTGTCGTTGTTGTTATGGTTGTTGCTGTTTGTGCTGTTGTTGCTGCTGCTGATTATGACGACGATGATGATGATGATGTTTGTGGTGGTGCTGCTGCTAATGATGACGATGCTGGTGGTGATGATGATGACGCTGATCAGGAGGAGGAGGAGGAGGATGAATGAGGAGGAGGAGGATGATAAGGAGGAGGAGGAGGAGGAGGAGGAGAAGGGAGGAGAAGGATGAGGATGAGGAGGGCGGAGGAGGAGGATGTGGAGGAGGGACAGGAGAGGAGGATGAGGATGAGGATGATGATGAGGATGATGATGCTGATGCTGATGCTGCTGCTGATTATCCTGTTGCCGATGATGCTGCTGATGATGCTGATGCTGCTGATGATGATACTGATGCTGATGCTGATGCTGCTGCTGATGATGCTGATGCTGATGTTGATGCTGCTGCTGATGATGATGATGCTGTTGAAGAGGCTGATGCTGCTGCTGATGATGAGATAATGATGGTGCTGCTGCTGATGATATGATGATGATGCTGTTGATGATGATAATCATGATGGTGATGATGATGCTGATAATGATAAGGATGATGTTGACGATGATGACGATGCTGATGATGATGATGATGTCGAGGAGGATGACGATGCTGATGTTGCTGATGATGATGCTGATTATGATGGTGATGATGATGCTGCTGCTGATGATGATGCTTATGCTGTTACTGATGCTGATGCTGTTGCTGCTGCTGATGCTGATGATGATGAGGATTATGATGATGATGATGACGACGATGATGATGCTGATTATGATGACGAATGTCATGATGATGCTGCTGCTGATGATGATACTGCCGATGATGATGCTGACGCTGATGCTGATGCTGATGATGTTGCTGCTGCTGATGCTGCTGCTGATGATGATGATGCTGATGATGATGATGATGAGGATGAGGATGAGGATGAGGATGATGATGATGATGCTGATGATGATGCTGATGATGATGATGATGATGATGATGATGATGATGATGATGATGATGATGATTATGATGATGATGATTATGATGATGATGATGATGATGATGATGAGGAGGATGATGATGATGATGATGATGATGATGATGATGATGAGGAGGAGGAGGAGGAGGAGGAGGAGGAGGAGAAGGAGAAGAAGGAGGAGGAGGAGAAGGACCCCCCCTCACCCTTGCTAGCCAGGCCATCGGAGGCCTCTCCGACGACGACCTGCACAGCCTTGCCGTCGCGCTGGCCTCCGCCGGCGGCGCGGGCGGCGTGGGGCGCGAGCTCTTCGAGCGGGCGGCGCAGGCTTGGCGGGAGCACTCGTGGGGGCTCTCGTAGTCGTCGTCGCCGTCGTCGTCGTCGTCGTCGTCGTCGTCGTCGTCGTCGTCGTCGTCGTCGTCGTCATCGTCGTGGTCGTCGTCGGTGTTTGCGTCGCCGCCGGCATCGGCGTCGGTGTCGGCGTGGGCGGCGTCGTCGTCGTCGTCGTCGTCGTCGGCGGCGGCGGCGGCGGCGTCGGTGTGGGCGGCGGCGGCGGCGTCGGCGTGGGCGTCGGCGTCGGAGTCGGCGTCGGCGTCAGCGTCGGCGTCGGCGTCGGCGTCGGCGTCGGAGGAGCAGGAGGGAGCAGCACCGCTCTACTCAAAAACAAAAGGCCAACCAAATGAGGGCGACGGAATAAACGATCCTAGGTCATCGAACCCCGACACTCACGACTCCGTTCCCCCAATTTGGTTTTGCGTGAAGGGGTCCGACTTGCTTCGGGAACGGAGCTGGTGGGTACGACACTCCGATTACGAGGCGGCGCTCGGCTTTGCTCGGCTCCTTTGTCTTGGGTTCCTCTTGGCGTTGTTTGGGCTCCTCGGGGTTCCTCGCTTGGGTTCCTCGAAGCTCCTCAGGTTTCTCGTTGTGGATTGCAGGGGTTTCTCGCCCGGGGTCTTCGCTTGGTTTCATAGGCCATGCCAAGGAAGTCCACGCAATGCCAAGCAACGCAGAACAGTGCCAAGCAATACCATGCCAAGCAACGCCAAGCAATACCAAGCAATGCTGAACATTGCCAAGTAGTGCCAAGTATCGGTTAGAACTGTTGTGAATTGCTTTGGGAGAATGGAGACCCCTACTTGGGGTCGCGCTGGGTTCAGATGTCTTTCGCAGAGCATGCAAGACTCGCTGAAATGGTCGATTGATCCTGCCACGATCGAAGTACAAAGCTGCACGGCTGATAAGGTAAAGGATAAACAAACTGATGATGACAAGGCTGCTGCTAGAAATGGCGACTGCGCGCTCCTCTTCCACCGTCTGACCTGGAATCGGCGACGCACTACCGATAGATCAAAGATCGGCTCTCGCTGGCGAAAACGCACGCTCCTGGGCGCGGCGGGCTCCCAGGCTTCCTATCGACGATGCATCGGCGATTGGAGGGTGATGCATCTCCCCCTGAGCCTACAGTCGGGGCGCTGAAGAAGGAACCTTTTTCGTTGTGGAGGGGCTCGGTGTTCCTTGATTCTTTTCCAGTTTGCCTTGGTTTTCCTTAGGCTTCCATGGGACATCGAAGTTCAAGTTATGGGAAAAAGTGGCCTCGTTCTTTGTTTAGGGTTCCTTAGGTCAGCGCCCCGACGGTACTCCACCCTGTCGCTGCTCCTTGGCATTCGGGCCATAGCCCGCCCGGCTCTTTGGCGGCCGCTCGGGATGATCCGGGCACTCCCGGAACGCCCTCGGCGAGGCGCAGCCGCTGGAACACAACCAGAGGCTGGGAGCGCGCGGAAACCGTGCGAAAACGCGCGAAAACATCCAACCTCAACCGCGAAACATTCCCCTGACTCCTCCTCCTCCTCCTCCTCCACCTCCTCCTTCCCATCCCCCTTCCCCTCCTCCTCCTCCTCCTCCTCCTCCTCCTCCTCCTCTTCCTCCTCCTCTTCCTTCTCCTCTTCCTCCTCCTCCTCCTCCTCCTCCTCCTCCTCCTCCTCCTCCTCCTCCTCCTCCTCCTCCCCATCATACTTCCGCCACCCGCGGCCATGGCGGAACCGGTGGCACTACGGGGGCCACCCGCAGCGAGCAACTTCCGAAGCCCCACGCACTGGACAATCCCAGGACAGCGTCGCCTTGACACCGCCCCGGGTCCACTCGGGCGGTCGCCTGGCCGCCTCGGGCACAGGCACACGGAGAGCCCACACAGCAGGAGGACGAGCGGGAACAGCATCACTGTCTAGGGAACGGGCCCCGCGCCCCCCCCTGCAGGGCGCACGGCGGGGGAAAGGAGGAGAGAGAGAGCCGGGAGGAACCGGGAGACGGAGGCGGGCGGCGCGCGCGGACGCGGGGCGCGCCACCCAGCCCCGCCGCTGGGCGCCGCGCGCGCGCCGGAGGCAAGGAGGCGGGGAAGGAGAGGGAAGGAGAGAGAGGAGAGGGGGCAGGCGGCGGCAGCAGCGGCGAGAGCGCGGCGCGCGCGGCGCGAGCGCGAGCATGGAGCGCGCCAAAGGGCGCAGCCAAAGCGACTACGATGGAGGAGGAGGAGGAGGAGGAGGAGGAGGAGGAGGAGGAGGAGGAGGAGGAGGAGGAGGAGGGAAGGCTGGCTGGCTGGGGTGGCCCATTGGGCGGCATTCGCATCCTTGGGCATGGATGCTTTTAGTGGGCCTGACCGGGCAGTAGGAAACCTCCCGCGACGGAGCATCCCCACACCGACCACTGTGCCTCCAGGCGGGCAGGTCCATGGCCACCTCTGGTGCATGGAAAGCCCGTTATGGGGGGGACAGCGACCGTCAGGGGTGGGATGGGCTGGCAGAGAGTCCGCATCTCAACTGCCGGGGGCTTCGCCCTGTCCCCCAGCCCCCGCAGTCAGAACAGCGTGCGCGAAGCACCACTGCAGACAGGCAGACAGGGAGGGGGAACGAAGACCCTCCCTTGAAAGCGGTGGGGGCCACCAGCCCAGCCCAGACCGGCCGACGTCGCAGCCCGCTGCCGCAGCGTCCCCGCTGGAGCGAGGGCCCTGCGGAGGGAGCGCTCAACCGGAGGGAGGGAAGGAGCAAGGGAAAGCGAGGAGAGAGAAAAAGAGAGAGAGAGAGAGAGCGATGGCCCTAGAGGGAGGGAAGGAGGTTACGCGGCGACCACACCCGTCCAGAACCTAGCCTCCGCCCTGTCCACAGCCAGCGCGAGTAGGGCGGCCTCCGCATAGCCTGGCTGGTCAGGTGTGGAACTTAGAATTGCCGTCGCACATGCCTCCTTCGACTCCGGTGGTGGTGCTCCGCAGGCCCGCCAAAACTCCGTACGCTGCCTCTCCACGGCTCCGCACACGCCCAGCACGTGAAAGGTGCGGCTCCTCGTTCTGATACCACAGAGGATGCATGCTTGGCTGCGCGCCCAGGAGCGTCTGCCCGACTCCTGCCCCAGCGCGAGGGCACCCATCCGAAAACGCGACAGCGACCGTTGGCCCCATAAGACCTCCCACGTGGAATGGAAGCTCCCTATCGCCCGGAGATCCGTCGAGAAACTCGGACGCAAGGAGAGATACGGTAGAGGGAGAAGATGCTGGCCAGCTGCCTGCCGCCAGCGTTCCTCTGAGGACCTTGCCAATTTGTCCAGGACCTCCGCCTTGTATCCATCCCTTGTGCCCTCTGGGTGCTGGATGGACCACACCGGCCAGTCTGGTATGCCCCAGGAGCTGAGAAGGACTTGAGAGGCCTTGGCCCACGTGGCCCCATCCCACCCGTGCGCACCCAAGAATACGTCTCGGTACAGGTCCCCGTCGGGAAATGCCCACAAAGCGGTTCTCCTGGAAGCCACATCGCCCACCACACGCGCAGCCCCCGACAGCTGCCAGCCCATCTCGCCGAGCGCTGCTGCGGGCCCCCTCCATGGTGGAACGCCCAGGAACAACCGTGCCCAGCCTTCGTACGCCGCATCGGCGGCCTTCTCACTGCCAGACGCAGGGGCCCAGAGCCACCTGCCGAACCTGAAAGAGGCTTCCACCTGCAGATCGAAGACGCCGGCCGCAGCAGATAATGGAAGCTCTTCGCGGGCCACCAAGCCCGCCAGCGTGGAGACATGGGAGGCCGCAGCGCTGATTCGATCCCTGCCCATGGCCAGCAGATCCAAGTCGCTGCGCCATGGGAGACCCAGCCAGCGATGTTTGGTCACCATGGCGATGGGCATCGGCTCCTGGCCCACTAGAGCAAGGACCAAAGGCTCCTCCTTTTGGGAGGCTTGGAGGGACCCGCGGCCCCCCGACACCATGGCCACGTGCTTGGTAGCCTTGGTGTGAGGGCTGGCCTTGTGTTTGTAAGCCCACGCTGCGAGCACCCCCAACGCTCCCTGCATGCCCCCTATGCTGCTGGCTAGAAGCACCGGGTCGTCCGCGTGTAGTACTGCCGGAAGCCTTCGGGGAGCAGCCCAATCAAGCGCCTGCAGGGCCGAGGCCTCTAGATCCTGATGGGCATCCAGCTGGGCCAGTGAAGGCAGTTCGCGCCTCTCCCTGATATCCACGAGAAGCTGCCTTGACCATGTCTCCACCGGAGTCCCTGTGCATGACCATTCCCTGGCCTGCCACTGCGCCGGCATGGGCCCTCCCAGGCCCACCCCCAGCCCAGCGTCCACGAGGGCGACCGAGAGCTCATCCATGTACGAGGGAAAGCATAAGGGCCCCAAGTTGCCTCCTTCGGCAAGGCCCTGTACAACTGTCTCCACGTGCACATAGTTGTGGTTCACATGCACGTGGTCTTCCTCTAGCATGGACCCGAGAATGGCCAGTGCCCCGCCTGTGACCCCCGCCCGGTGGGCGAGCGTCCTGAGAAGCTGTTCTCGCCATACCCGCGGGAAAGCCTTCTGCAGATCCCCGAACACCAGCCAGATGGCCCTGTGCTACCCTATGGCCGCGGCACAGATCTCGGATAGGAGGAGGTGCGCCTCTCCCACGTCTTTAACGTAGCCACTCTGGCCCGGGGTGATGGAGGCCCTGAAGGGAGGAGGACGCGGCAGCAGAGGAAGAGGGAAAGGGAAAAGAGGCCAACGAACTAGGAAAACGAACTAGCGGCAGCCAGCGATGGCCATGCTGCCGGCGCGCACGCGCGCGCTAGCAGCGCGCCACGCCACAGCGGGCTGCAGCGCGACGCTCAGCTCCTGCCACAGCGCCGCTGCCAGAGCGTGCGCCCCTGCGTCGCGTCCTGCCATGACCGCGAGCCTGCGGACGGCGGCCACGGCACTATCGCCAGCCCGGCCGCAGATCTCAAACACGCAGGGCGTGATGTTGAGACCTGCGTACCGGCGGCGTTTCTCTCGCTCCTCCTGCGCTGCTGCCGCGCCGTCCCTGTTCGCGGCGGCGC